GCTAGAATGTAGCAAAAAGCTGGTTAGTTTCAAGAAAAAAAAAACAAAAAAACATGCAGGAGCGCTAAGAGGAGAGTACAGGTGAATCAGGACGCCAGGACACCAGGAAGCGCTCCCCCAGCCTGCCATGGCTCTCTGACTTGCCTTTGGGGCAAGTTGGGAAGGTCTTGGATCCTCCTCGATATCACCTACATCAGTTTGTCCATCTGCCAGTCTTTATATTCCTCCCAGATCTAAATCTACAAAGTTTTTAAAGATCCAGACTTTCAACCAGTGTCCCCTCCTGGACCAACACATTTGTCTCACGCCAGTTCTGTATTTTTACTTTTGGGGGTATACTTCCAAAGGATCTAACAAACAGCAAGCCTGTTGTTTGTAGATTTAGTAAACATGTCTATCAACTAGGATATGATCTTGTTAATATTCTCCTTGGGGTTCAGGGCGCCTCCCATGTACTAGGAGCCCCCCAAAGTATTCATGAAATAGTGAACAACTGTCATGATGACAATTTAGGAAGGCTCGAGGATGCAGAAAGAGAGGAAATGAAGTTGGGGAGGGGGAGTAGGTGTTTCATGAAGGTCTTTCAAGGCCAAATTAAGGACAGTGTTTTGAAGGTCTCGAGAAGCCACTTAGGAGATGATAGTCAGGCTGCATGGAGGTGGGCTGACCGCATTGAGGGAATCCAGTTAAGCGATGAGCTAAGGCAGTGCCAATGGGATGGAGTGCAGGGCATGTCTCCAGACCTTGTTTGTTCAGCATAGTGTCAAAAGTTAAAAGCGAATAGGGTCAGCTGGCAAAATCTGCAGGCCACACAAGACGGGGATCTCTGGCTTTCTTTGATATGGCATGGTAGTCTTCAAAGACACATTCAATTCTTTTATTGGAGTAGTTGTCTAAACTATTTGTTCCTTCTCTTCAAGCCAGTCTTTCAACCAGGAGAATTGTTTTTGAGTCACATCTATTTGGGGAAGGACAAAAATGTGTCTGAAAGGCCCAGCAGGTTCTAATAGCTCTTCTTGCTCTGGGAGATTGAAGTCCACCAGCAACGTGACCTACTTAGAAATGCTCCCTTAGATAATCCCGTGTTGTGTTCTCTGAGCCCCCCGGTGGATCTGCGTAGCACAGGGGTTCCATTTAATGGCTCTTTTCTTCCCAAAGGAAGTATTTCTTCAGGATCTCTAGAGAAGGGAGCTGGCACGGGGTGGTGGGGAGAGGTGGTCAAGACCCTGGCCTGGGGGTGAGGGGTGGGGGTGGGGACTCAGGGTAAGCCCACACAACAAAACGAACAAAAACCCAAAAACTTGCCTCCATTCCTTTCCCTTTTTCTAGCCTAACCTAAAATTTGTCTGTGCCAGTTTTGTTCTTCAAGCTTCGAGGCATCAATTAGTTGAACACCCTCTGTTGTCACTCAAAGGCCTTCCCAATCTGGCACTAACTTCTTTTCCACATTGATCTCCAGCCATCCTCCCAGGGTCCCCCTAAGCTCCCTCTTGACTCATCAGCTTCCCTGGAGTCACATCATTAGGTAATTTGGCATCACCGAAGGAGAGCAGAATATGCCACCCCAAAAGATGTCACCTTGGCCAATTGATTATTTTGAATTGAGCTTACTTAAGAAATAGTTGGTGCAAGAAGGATCCATGGAGCCTCCTTTGTTCCTTTGGAAATAAATCCCCCTTGTGAAAGGTATGTTCCTTGTACCAGCAGGGTAGGAGGCATCCTCATCACCAGACATAGGGAATTTAGGGCTAAGAGGGCTGTATAAAGAACACTTGTCACTTCTAAACTAATTTACTACCCCAAGCCCAAACCCCTTCATCTGGTCAATTCTTTACAAATTTATTGTTTCTTTGTCTAAAAGGTATATAAGCTGCCTGCTTTGGTCACTTGAGTATCCTATTCTCTTTTTTTTTTGGTACTCCTGTACATACAAAATTAAATTTTTTCCCCTGTTAATCTGTCTTATGTCGATTATTAGGCCAGCCAAAGAACCTAGAAGGCAAGAATGGAAAAATTTCCCACCCCTGCATTACCCAAATTTGCAAGATTCACTGTATAATTTTGTCAGTCTGAGCATTTACTTGGGCACATATATTCCTAAGTGAACACACAGGGATGTGCTCAGTTGTTGGTGTACAGTGTATACTCTCTGTTGAATGCACTTGATTGTAAGGTAAAGTGGAATTGTAGAGGAATGTTCTGGTATAGAATAGAGGAGGCCAGATCCCAAGGACCTGGGTTGGGGACTCTGAGTTGTCTGGCAGGCAGGCCCTTCTAGTTGTAGCCAATAGATTCCTGTGCGCATTTAAGGTTTCTTTGAGCTAGCACTGGTTTCCAGGAGAGGAGATAAGTGTATGGGGGAGGAAGCTTTGTATAGGTGGAGAGTTTGAATCTGGACTCTCAAACTTACTGGCTGTGTGACCTTGGCAAGTGCCTTGACCTCTCTGAGCCTCAGTATTCTCTTCTATGGAATAGAGAAATAAGGATATCTATCTTGCACTGTTGTGAAGTTCAGTGAGATGATACATTTTTTGTACTCAAGTGAGAAAGTGTTGCTTTTTTTCTACTTGGAAGGCAGTGTTTTCTGTCTGGGTGGTATTTGCCAGTTTTCCAACAATCATGCACGATTCTCGAGACTTTTACCATATCACTGGCAAAGATCAAACATCACCTGTACTCCCGTTTAATTAAAAAAAAAACCTCATTCTTACTAACAGAATACATTTATTTAGGAAGGAGACTATATCAATCCTATAACCATAGGATAACTATAAAAACAAACACAATGAAAACAACACAGTGTTATGTTACTGCTGTTCAGCCAGATACTGTTCTCTGCTAAAGGCTGTGAATCTAAGGCTTGTTTTCACTTTGTTGCAAAAGGGCAATTCATGAGTTAGCAGGTAGGTGGTAGAGCTGTGCTGGTCCCCCAAAGAAGATTTTGATGTCCTTGACCATCAAAAGGGATTGAAAGAACTGAAAAAATACAATCACACTTTCTCTATGTGATTCAGTGTTATTTAATGCTATGCTTGAACACCTTTTGAAATCATGTCAGTTCCCACAAAAGATAGCATCTTCCACTTTGGGAAACGCTGGCCTTGATCATCAGTCATTTGAGAGCACAATATTAGCCCATGACTGCAGGGATATGGGTCATGGTCAGGATCTCTAGAGAAGGGAGCTGGCACTGAGTGGTGGGGAGAGGTGGTCAAGAACCTGGCCTGGGGGTGAGGGGTGGGGGTGGAGATTCAGGGCAGGCTGCAGCAGAGTGGAGTGCTAAAAATCCAGAGGGTCTCACCTCAAAGGCTGCAGATTTGCTGCTCAAGTGGGGTGAGGGTAAGGCTCTTATTGTGCTTTTGGCTGTGTTATACATTGCTGCAGAGGTGAGGGAATATGGAGAAATGCAGATCTGGGTGCTGGGCATTTATATAATTATAGCTATTTTTATGGAGCTCTTCCCAAGGTTTCTGAACATATTAACTCATTTAATTCTCATAACAACCCAGTGAATAAAAATCTGTATTCTCTTCATTTCACACATGAAGAAACTGCAGCCTAAAGGTTAAATAACTTGCTCTGATTTTCTGAGCCTGTAAGCGGCAGAGCTGGTATCTGTAAATGTATGCGGTGGGCAAGAATTTGCTTTACAACACCACCCAAGGCAAGAAAGTGCATTCAAAGTGTTTTTCTTAATCAAATGCAGTAGTGTTGGTAGATGGCCATTATCAGTCTTTGTTAGGTTTCCCTTCCCCACTCCCGTGGGTGCACCACTTAAGTGGTCCCCCAAACAGTGGGGGTGCCTGGCTCTTAGCCCATGGCTGTGGCCACCATGGTTTTCCTTGTTCTTCCTGCTACTCAGGGCTGCCTGCAAGAGCTAGCTTTGCACCCTCTGCTAGGCAATTCCGGTCTGGATAAATACAGTGACACCACTCAACAATCTGTTTACAGACTGTACGGCTGGGTGGGACCCCATTGCTGATCCCAGGGCTGCAGGATTAATAGTCTCCATAGCTGCCTCCCAGCTCTCCTCCATCCAGAGTGCTGCCTGTAAGAGGGACTGGGGTCCATCTCCTCTCAGGGAACTCACTTCCTACTTCTCAGTGTTCCCCCTCTCCCAGAGCTTGGGCACCTCATCTATAAGTCAAAACACCAGCCCCTCTTCCTCTTCCCTTCTAGCTTAGCTCCTGGGAGAGTCTAATTGTCTGGAGGGTTGGTTAAAGGCTTCTTTGGCCTTGCCCTTGAATCAACACACACACACACACACACACACACAAATGTTACCTGTTTCCTATGGAAAGAAGAACATAGGGCAGAGGTTCTTGACCTTGAGTTAGCACAAAATTACCTGGAGAACTTGCTAATAAAACAGGTTTCTGTCCCCTTTTTGTTTCAAAAGATTTGGAATGGGGCCCAGGAATCTGTATTTAACTGGCAGGAAATGGTTCTGCTGCAGGTGATTTGAGGACCACACCGTGGAAAACACTGGCTTGCCTTTAGGACACAGAAGAACCAAGAGGGAGAAAATTAACATTTCAGGGAGTACTAGGCAAACATTAACATCTTAACAAATCAACCTGCATAATATAAATACATATTTGCAATATGTAATATTATGGAAATTATTGGTATAATGATACGAATATATGATCTGCTTAGCATTTCCAACTACTATTATAGTGTGATCATTTTCTTCTCTTTCCTAATAAGTCCTTCAAAAACACAATTTTTATAATGCCATAATATTTAACTGTATAAGTATGCTAACATTTATTTACCATTTTTAATACATGCTTGTTTTCCAGGTTTGATGTTCTAAGTAATGTTTTGATCAACATATATCTCCATACATTATTCTCTTGCCTTTATGTTTTAAAATGAAGAACTGTTCTGAACATCCCTAGTACTTTCAAGGATTTAGTATTGCTTTGAAATACTTGTTTTTTTCTTCCCACTGAAAGATCAGGTGGTTTGGTTTGTGTTTAATAATCAACGGAGATATGATAGTTTGTGCGGCTTATGCTCATGAACTCCCAAAGTATGGTGTGAAGGTTGGCCCAACAAATTATGCTGTAGCGTATTGTACTGGCCTGCTGCTGGCCCGCAGGCTCCTCAATAGGTTTGGCATGGACAAGATCTATGAAGGCCAAGTGGAAGTGACTGGAGATGAATACAATGTGGAAAGCATTGATGGTCAACCTGGTGCCTTCACCTGCTATTTGGATGCAGGGCTTGCCAGAACTACTACTGGAAATAAAGTTTTTGGGGCCCTCAAGGGAGCGGTGGATGGAGGCTTGTCTATCCCTCACAGTACCAAACGATTCCCTGGTTATGATTCAGAAAACAAGGAATTCAATGCAGAAGTACATCGAAAGCACATCATGGGTCAGAATGTTGCAGATTATATGTGTTACCTAATGGAAGAAGACGAAGATGCTTACAAGAAACAATTCTCTCAATACATAAAGAACAACGTAACTCCAGACATGATGGAGGAGATGTATAAGAAAGCTCATGCTGCTATACGAGAGAATCCAGTTTATGAGAAGAAGCCTAAGAAAGAAGTTAAAAAGAAGAGGTGGAACCGTCCCAAAATGTCTCTTGCCCAAAAGAAAGATCGGGTAGCTCAGAAGAAGGCAAGCTTCCTTAGAGCTCAGGAGCAGGCTGCTGAGAGCTAATAAACCAAACCACAATTATCTATGAAGATTTTTCAGATAAAGACAATAATAAACTTATTCATCAAGCAAAAAAAAAAAAAAATCAATTGTTTCTCACACCTTGGAAACTAGCTTTCTGTTTTAACACAATGGAAATAGCTGGGTGATTCAGCTAAGAAGGGAGAGAAGTGTACTTTCCATGTCATACTAATGAGCAAATGCTGTTGTAAGTAGGACAGGGGCAGTGATTGTGGGGAGACTCAGAGAACGCTGTCTCCCAATACCAGCCAGAGAAGTCTTGGTATTTTCAGCCCATGGATTGATGTAACCTACCCCAGAATCATCAAGCAGTGTGTTTCAAGTAGCACTGCAAGTGGCTAAAATGTTACGGTCAGGAAGTTGTTAACAAATAACTCAAGCCTTCCTGAGAACCCCTGCACCACAGTTATCTCAGCGGGGAACTTGGTGGTAGTAGAAGGCCAGTTAGGGAAGCAAAGGAGTGAACGGGTCCTTGTGAAAGGTGGCATCTTCAGGATGTCAGCTACCCGACTTTTTTTTTTTTTTTAAACATAGGTAAACCAATTGGTCTATTCACAACAAATGCAAGGGCACTCTGGCCCATGCGCCGTTTTAGACTTGCTTTCAGCCTGACACTGAATAACTATTAACCTTTAACGAGCAAACATTTTCAAAGACTTCTATGGTTAAAGGCTCTGTGTTTGTTGTTGGAGATGCAAAAATAAGTAAAAACCCAGTGCATTATCTATCCTAGAATTGCTTACAATCTCTTGGCAGAGAGACACATAAACAGTTACAATAAAATACGATAATAGAGATATCATGGGACCTCATGGAGTAATTCTAAATATTTAAGAATAAAGAGCCATCAAATTTCCAAAAAAATGGCTTATCAGTTTGTAAATGTTGCTCTTAATTTAAAACAGATACTATTCCTAGATATTAAACTAATAACAATTATGTTTTAAATATTACTTTGATGGTTCAAAGCATTGTCACAGATACAGAAGAAAATGTTGAGTCTGATACTGGAAAGGACTTTAAGAAGTCACCTAGTACAGCCCCTCTTTTTAGGGACCTCAGAAAGTCAGTGACTCATTCAAGATCCCCCAGTAACTTGATGGTAGAGATAAGACTATAATTCAGGTCCTCTTTCCAGTGGTCCAGTGGTCTTTCTCTTCCACAGCATACAATATTTTATACTGAGCCCCTGCCCTCTCTTAGTACTCATTTTTGGTGTGACCTACACAATTCGTATGAAAACTAAGGAAGAGATGTCTGCAAAGCTAACTGACACATTGGACATCTCATTAGTACCCATTGGAGTTTGTTGACTTCACTATCTCTTGTTCATGTAAAATAGAATTCACTATCTTGTTCATGTAAAATAACATTTACTCAAGTTATACCTTCATATGCCTCAGTTCCCACTAAACTCGTGTCAAATAGTTTCAAGGGTACCCAAGTCTAGCTCATGTATTGGGGTACTAGTCCTTCTGGTCCAGGTTATCCACCATTTTCTTCTGCCTTGATTCACTGGGGTGAATCTCCCTTCAAGGCCAATTGCAACTGAGGACACAGCTGCTGCTGAGGGGGACAACCAGTGGGCCCAGCTTTCCAGGGGTGGGTGCTGAGGACACTCGTATCTTTGCTAAGGGGACCATCTTCTGTTACTGCTCGTGCTAAAGTTGCTACATTCCAGGCTCTTGATACATCATGAAGATTTGACCGAATCTGGTGAGAAATCTGAGTTATCCCTTCCTCCAGTTGTGACCCACTGGGCTGTGACCAGGCTGTGCTCCCCGATTCTCTCTTACAATAGGAAGCTCTTGGCCCCACATGCAAATAGACTTTGGGATGCTCACCAACTGGGCTCTCAAGACATGAGAAAATCCTAGGATTAATAGACCTTAGACTCGAAGCATAAAATCAGTACCTAACTGGAAAAGCCTGGATTTCATGGATGTTAACACAGGTTCCAGGGACAAAGAGGCTGTGGTCATGGGAAACACTGATTTCAACAAGTGAAATAGATTTATTTTGGTGGGGGAAAGAACAGCAGCTTTTTTTGAGGTATAACATATGTAACGTTAAATCCACTCATGAGTGTACAACTCGATGATTTTTTAGCAAATTTACGAAGCTGTGCAACCGTCACTATAATCCAATTTTAAAACATTCCTGGCCCTGGGCAACTGCTAATCTACTTTCTGTCTCTGTGGATTGTCTGTTCTGGACATTTTATATAAGTGAATTCATGTGATATGTGGCCTTTGGCATTTGGCTTCTTTGACTTGGTATGTTTTTGAGGTTCATCCGTGTTGTAGTATGTATCAGTACTTTGTGCCTTTTTATTGCTAATTATTATCCCATTGCCTGGATATACCCATTTTGTGATAGACGTTTGTATTGTTCCCATTTTGGGGCTGTTATAAATTATATTGTTATCAACATTCTTGTATTAGTCTTTGTGTGGGCATTTTTTTTTTTTTTAATTTTTATTTCTCTCAGGTAGATACTTAGGATGGAATTGCTGGCTTATTTTGTAAGTGCATGCTTAACATTTTAAGAAATGTTAAAACTTAACATTTTAAGAAACTGAAGGAGCTGAACCATTCTTCATTCCCAGCACCGATGGATGAGGGTTCCAGTTCAGCACATTCCAGCCCACCCTAGCTATGGTCTGTCTGTGGATTCGAGCTGTTCCGGATGTGTATGCGGTGCAGCTCATTGTGGTGTTAAATAAGTATCTATTCAGGTCTTTCACAGACTTGAACCTAGCAATGTGCAGTTTGAATCTCCAGAAGAGAATAGTGAATAGGGTATGCCATGTTTCCTAAACTCAAATAAGCTCTTGGAATTCTCTCTCTCTCTCTTTTTTGCCCCCCTGAAATGAGCTTATGAAAGGCTTAATGTTCTAGAGCATACATTTTGGGAAGCATTACATCATTCTATTCTAATATTATTTTTAGCTTTGTTCTCAGTGATATTTAATTACACACAAGAGTTTACCACCCAGTGATGCTGAGTCGAATAGCACAGACTCAGAGGTTCAGAGAACTTGAGAGGTAAGGGAAGAGGCTGACGAGGTTAGGGCTGGCTTGCATCTGAGAGGTAGTGGTTTTCATGAGGAACGAAATGTCAGTTTGTTTTTCTCTGTACTTGGTTCCCCAGCACGGCCCAGATGGACCCCCACATCTCCAGTGGAGCTGGGCTGGGCTCAAGCTGAGATGTTGGCTACACTTTAATTGTCAACGCTCAGTCAGATAATGATCATAATGACAGCAACAACAAAGATAATCGGATCAAATTTACATCAATCACATCTGTGCCCGGCACCATGCTAAGCGCTCTTCACGGATTACCTCACATGGGTGCTTTTATTACAACGATTTTACAGATAAGGAAATTGAGGCCCAGAGTGGTGAAGAGCTTGAGCTCAGGTCATAGGACGTGGCAGAGTCAGGACTTGAACTGGGACCCCTCTGGGCCCCCTCTGATGCCAGAGTTTGTGCTCTGTGTCCCACCACCCCACTAAAAAGGCAATCTGAAAGAAGTCTGGAAAAAGATTTTTGTTTGTTTTAATTATACAGCAACTGGAGGATTCCGGAAAGGTTTCCAGTATAGAGTTTGCTTCCCGAACGTCACCACCTTCCTGGTCACCTCACCTTCTCCTTGTCCGCTGACAGGAAATGCACCATCTGTTCTCCTGTGGGAGACTCCTTGTGTCCATCCTTCTCTTCCAGTCCCACAGCCACCACCTTTGTCCTGGCCTCACCACACCTCTGGATTATTACCCTCCCGGCCATGAAAACTTCTACCTAGTTTCATTGTTCCCAGGTTTTCTCTTAAAAACCAGGTCACCTATCCCCGCCAGGGAGATCTTTCTAGATCCCTGCTCTGTGTGACACACTGCTCTGCTCACTTCAACAACTGTCATGGCTCCCTTTGCTCAAAGGAGGATTCCCAGTCCCTGCGCAGGGCATTCGGACTGACTGCTCTTCACTTCCCCACTGTATCACTCTAAGTCTCCCTTCTTGGATTGACCGCCATAGGCAGGTGCTTCACCGCTGCCCAAACAAGCTAAGTCATGTTCTCCTCCATGACTTTGCTGATCCTTGGTCTCCAGCGTTCAGTGGCCTCCTCTCCTTCTGGCTTCTCTAAGCCCTTTTCTGACCTTGACAGTCTCCAACCTCTAGGATGCTGTTCCGGCACATCCTAGCCCATAACGACCTGTCCCTCTTCTGAACCCCTTGGGAGAGCCTACGATTGTGACGTCTTCAGCATCAATCTCGTTTACTGTGAAATGAGTTTGTAATAATAGTCCTTGCCTCATAGGATTGTTGTCCTGGTTAAAAGACCAGGATACGCATGATACACTCAGTCTAGTCCCTGGCACAAAGCCACAAGGCAAGTTTTATAAAAGATACTATTAGTAATAATTAAGATTGTCATTTTTATTATTGCATGATGCTTTGCATTGTTCCATCTGACTCTTCCATGAGGGGTGGATGTCTTGAGAATGGGGCTCAGGTCATGTCATATCTATCACATTGCCTGAAGCACCAGAGATTCTGGGGGATGTTTGTGGAGGATGGGTGCACAAAGCCTAACCTGGGGGTCAGAGGCTTGATGCTACTCTTGGCTGTGTAGACAACTCACGTATGACCTTGACTTGTCTCTTTGGAGTCCAGTCTCTTCCCATTGTACCCACTCCCTAAGGTTCTCTGTGAACCTGCTTCAAATCCAATCCCTGACGGTCAGTTCTGTGTGTTAACTTGGACACCTTTTTTAATCCTCCCTAACCCTCAGTTTTCTGCATCAATGAAATGGAGAGAATGGTTTTGCTTCACAATTGGCTGTGAGGATAAACTATTGCTTTTCAGTTAATAGGTGCTCTCGTGCTTATTCTGTTATTGCTCGTTAGGTGATAAATACTTGGCTTGTTAATGTTGTTGAGTGAATTCATTTCCTGGGGCTGCCTTAACCAAGTACAACAAAGTGGGTGGCTTAAATGAAGAAATTTACTGTCTCATGGTTCTGAAGGCTAGAAATCTGAAATCAGGGTTGGTTTCTCGGAGGGCAGTGAGGGAGACTTCTCTTCTAGCTTTGGGTGGCCTCAGGCATTCCTTGGTTTGTAGATGGCGCTCTCCCCGTGTCATGTCATCTTCGCTCTATTCAGATCGGTGTCTGAGTCCAAATTTCCCCTTTTTATAAGGTCACCAGTCATCCTGGATTAGAGTCCACCCTAATGATATCATCTTAACTCAATTACTTCTAGAAAGACCGTATTTCCAAATAAGGTCACATTCTGAGGTACTGGGTTTAGAACTTCAATATACCTTCTTGGGGATTCACATTTCAACCCATAACATTGAAAGTGATTAATGGTTGTATTCTCTGGAAAATGCTTTGCTGGAAAAATAACTTGGCCTTTCTCAATGGAAGAGAAAACGACCCCACAACACCCAACAGTGACTCCTCCCTACTCGAATGCACTTGCCATTCGCAGAAGCTCATTTCACGGAATCAGATGAGTGGAATTGACATTGACAAAGATCTCCTTCTTTCCACAAAGCGAGTCCCACGACCTCTGCCCCTTGTGACATTTCCCACATATACTTTTAGAATTGCAAATCTATCATTTCTGGTTCATGACATTTTTTGCAGAGCCCCCCCAGGATGGAAATAACACACCAGATCTCAGGCAGTTGGCATTCTTTCTCTGTTTTTTTTTTATAGCACTCTGCAAAACTCTCATGCTGTTTACATGTGATTTATATTCCTCCTGTGGTTCCTAAATGGATATAATAAAAACAGATTTAGAATATTAATCTGACATGATTCAGGCCAGCATGGTCCAATACAAATTTATTTACTGGGGATGATGAAAAATCTGAAAAGATAAAGTGAGAATCAGTCCTTAGTAAATCTTTCTTGCTGTCTCTTACGACACTGTTCCTGAGAAGGCCGTCCACTGGAGTTCTTGGGATATTTGTGGAAAATGTAGGTTTCCAGGTCCCACCTACCACTCTGCAAGTTCTGCATCTTTGGAGGAGGGGTCCTGGGATTTGCATTTCTAATAAGTCCCTCAAGCCCCTGTGGTTCTGGCCCACCCTTCGTTTGAGAACCACTCGTCTCCGGCATCGCCCAGAAGAAATATATATATATTTTTAAGATTTTATTTATTTATTTGAGAGAGAGCACATGAGAGGGGGGAGGGTCAGAGGGAAAAGCAGACTCTCTGCTGAGCAGGGAGCCCGATGTGGGACTTGATTCTGGGACTCCAGGATCATGACCTGAGCCAAAGGCAGTTGCTTAACCAACTGAGCCACCCAGGTGCCCCTGTGTTTTGTTTTGTTTTGTTTTGTTTTTTCCCTGTGTTTTGTTTTTGAGTCACTGAGTTCCAGAGCTGGAGTCTGTCCAGGGCTGAAGGTGAAGAGAGCCAGGCAGGTAGACGTGGGGCAGGGGGATGAGTGTGTCCAGTCCATTGTGGGATGGCATCTGCTGAGCGTGGATTTCAGATGGGACAGGGAGGCCTGTAAAGGTTGACAACACACACACAACAGTAGGTGGGTTGAGCTGCGAAGTGAGTCTCTGGCAGCCCCAGGGAAGGGGTCCAGCAGCCAGGGAGAGCTGAAGTGGGAGGGGCCCTGCCTCCACCCCTGAGGGTTGCTCAGGGAGCAGCTGGGCCTCCGTGTCCCTCTGGGGAGCTGTGTGAAAACTCAGACCCCTGAGCTTGAACCAGCCCCTCTGCATGCTCGGGAATCTGCATTCTAAAGCCCTCCAGGTGATCTATGTGACAGTCCCCCTGAATAGCGTTTGGGAAGCACAGGGACCATGGAAAGAACTGACTTTGGGAATCAGTGGGTCTGGCATTGAGTCTTCATTGTTTGATCTTGACCTAACTCCAGCTGAGCCACAGTTTCTTTATCTGTAAAATGAAAGTACAAATACTTTCTTCTTTTTGTTTTGATCGTTGTGACAGTTAGGGAGAAGGGACATGACACATTTAGCACAATTTCTGGCACACAGTAGGCTTCATGAAGTGGTGGCTCCAAACCTTTCGAGAACTGAGATTCGAAGGATGTGATTGGGACAGGGTGTGCCAGTCACTGGGCGTGAGTATCAGCAGGTGGCCTCGGGGATTGGCTTTGGCTCTGACAATACTGGGTCCTGGTTTCTACAATTGGGACTAGGGAAAAAAAAGAGTGGCAATCATGTCAAGGCTAAAATAATATTTCCCACGCAGGTCCCAAGCATTTTATGAACAACCTTATGAGGTAGCTAGTAGTATTATCCCCATTTTACAGATGAGAAAACAGAGCCTCAGAGAGACATGAGCATGGTCACACAGCCCTGATGTGGCAGCATGAAGCTTTCCGGCTCTGGGTCTTCAGCAGCTTTTCCTCCCTAGTTAAGCCAAGTACGAGGTCAGAGGGGCCCTCAAACCATCAAAGTGCCGAGTCTCCAAGTGAGCCAGGCCTTCGGAGAAATGGTCCTGAAGGTTTGCCACAGCATTCTAGATATAAAATCGTATAGCCACGTCATAACAAAGTTAGAAAAGCTGGCATTTTTCTAACAGAAGCTGAGCTATAATAAATCTGTCCTGTTGCCAAAGGCTTGATAAATTCTAACAAAATCCCATAACAAAATATCGTCTTGTATTGAGAATCCCTTGCCCACTTTCTGCTTCCTTCTCATGTAAGAGTTGACCCTTTTCATAGGTTAATCAGCACCTCCAAAGACCTCTCTGACTACTGTTGTTTCTTCCCTTCCCCTTTGTCTCACTGATTCAGTCCTTATTCATTTGATACAAATCCAAATGTCTAATCAAGATTTCCTCCACCTAGCACCTGAAGCGCTGGCATGTGTAAACATATTTGTATAATTCTGAGAGTATTTTAAGAATTTCTGCATTTTGTAACACTCCTCTCTCCCTTTTCTCTACTCCCAGGGCATAACCTTCAGTAGCAGAACAAATCAGGCCAGCTAGCAAGCTGCCAAGTCCTGTGGGCTCCTTGTCAAGGAAAACAGCTGACCCCATTTCTAATCAACCTCTCCCCACATAGCTCTGCTGGGTCACTGAAGGAGACCAGACCAGAATTTGAAACTTTCCAAAAACTTCCAATATACACTGAATGCAAAAGGATACTTACATTGTCTTTGCATAAATCTGCTCTGTTTGGGAGATAAGGGGGAGAATCACCCAAGAAGTCACACGAACAGATTCTACCTTGAACGCCTCTGCACATATAATGGGTGATGGTTATAGAAACAGCCCAAACCTCTACCACAGTGCAAGAGATATAGCTCGAGAGGCGACCTGGCAGTCCCGGAACCAAGGAATGGATGACTACAAGTATCAGGACAACTATGAGGGGTATGCCCCCAATGATGGCTATTACCGTGGCAATGAGTCCAACCCAGAGGAGGATGCACAGAGCGATGTTACAGAAGGCCATGACGAGGAGGATGAGATCTATGAGGGCGAGTACCAGGGCATCCCTCACCCAGATGATGTCAAGCCCAAGCAGGCCAAGATGGCACCCTCCAGGGCAGATGGCCTTCGGGGCCAGGCCGACCTGATGGCCGAGAGGATGGAAGATGAGGAGCAGTTGGCCCACCAGTATGAGACCATCATTGATGAGTGTGGCCATGGGCGTTTCCAATGGATCCTCTTTTTTGTCTTGGGTTTGGCTCTGATGGCTGATGGGGTGGAGGTGTTCGTGGTGAGTTTTGTCCTGCCCAGTGCAGAGAAGGACATGTGTCTGTCCAGTTCCAAAAAAGGAATGCTTGGTAAGTAGAAATTTCCAAAGATCCTTCTCTTTGTGACATTAAATTATGAAGGGGAAAGAGCAGTTAAATTTATATAGTACCTGTCACTATTGGGCACCTTAAATCTATCACGATGCCCTTGCAATGCTCTCATTTTACCTTTAAGGCATTTTTATCTCAGAGAAAATTAATTGGCTCAAGTTTACCCAGTTAATAAGTATTAGAGCTTGGATCCCTGCTCAGGTCTGTCTGACTCTCAAGTTCTTCGTTCTTTTTCCAAATCTTATTGCCTTTTTGAGAGTCAGAGCTCTCTCATCTTCATATTAAACCACCTTCCATATTGAAACGGCAAATACATTTTGTGAGTGGTAGGCCAGAAAGCTTCTTCCTCTCAGCCCTCTCTGTGTCCTTCTAGAATCTGATGGCGTCTGCTCCCGGTTTCTCTTGTATGTAAGTGTCAGTGGGCTAACTGCCCATGTACCTTGGGGATGCATGCTGGGCTGAGCTTACCCCCACATCCCCTGCAGGCCACTGGGAATCACACTGTGAAGCACAGATGGATTCCAAAGGATGGAGGACCAGCCTTGCAAATCAGTAATAGACTGGTACCGTGAGAGCCAAGCCTCAGGTATCAGGGCCTGAGACAAAGAGGATTTTGTGAAGTTAGAGAGAGGATGGGTACCAATGGTGTGGTGTAGAAGCGATTCATCATAATACAGACAAGGATTTGTGTTGATCATTAAATGTCTTGGAAACATATCCATTCTCTAAATGTAAAGTCCATGCAATTGATTATTTAGCAAACATACAGTTATTGAGAACTTACTATGAGTCATGTTCTTAAGAACCCTCAAGAACTCAAAACCTGTCTAACAACTTAATTCATTCACCCAATAAATATTTATTATGTGTATACTGTGTGCCAGTCTCTGTGCTCAGCCCTTGGGAAGAAAATATTGAACCAGATAGACATGGTCCTTGCCTCTCAAGGGACTCACACACAGCAGGACAAACAGGCATTAACAGACACAGAGAGTTATTCAATTACTGTAGAGATAAGTGCTATGAAATACTTTGTAGGACTCTCTTCTCTAGTACTTGCTTTAAAGAAAGCATTGACACCAAAGAAAGCAGGGGCACCTAGGTGGTGCAGTCAGTTAAGCATCTGACTCTTGGTTTTGGATCAGGTCCTGATCTCAGGGTCCTGATCTCAGGGTCGTGAGATTGAGCCCCTCATTAGGCTCTGCGCTCAGTGTGGAGTCTGCTTCAGATTCTCTCTCTCTCCCTTTGCCCCTCCCACTCATGCTAAAATTTCCCACTAAAATAAATAAATCTTAAAAAAAAAAAAAGCAACTGTTGGCAAACATTTTCTATAAAGACCCAGATAGTAAATATTTTAGGCTTTGCAGGTCCAGATAGTCTCTGTTACCACTACTCAACTCTGCCTCGGTAGCACAAAAGCAGCTATAGACAACACACATGGGCATAACTGTGTTCCAATAAAACTTTATTTATGAAAAAAGACAAAGGGCCAGATCTAGCCTATGGGTTGTAGTTTGCCAGCCCTGATTTAAAGCCCCTCTAAATAAGATTGGGATATAATATAAACACCTGCAATAAAGAGGTGTTCCTGGAAGCTTTTAAAGTTTGTTTAATCCATTTATGCTTAACTAAAGGGCCATTTAAAATGATTAAACTGTGTCGTATATGACCAGTAGGGAACCGAAAGAGACTGAGTATGTACAAACAGAAGGAATGACTTAAGGAGCAAGGCTATCACCCAAAATTTTTAAACACCATTAGAATTTTAGTTGCTTTTTAAAATTGTATTTTTATTGAAAAAATTCTGCTTTGTGCTTTTAAGTTCAAATCCTTTTTTTTTTTTTTTTTTGGTAAGGGCAAAAAACAAAACAAACCCCAAGTCCCAAACAAAACCATACAGTCCCCAATTTATTTAAACATTTGCAAGGCCTTAATTTGCTTTGTGGTATTCTCAACTGAAACCCTGGGTCCCTGTTAGGCCAAATTGGCAATGTCAGTAACGATTTCACGCCTCTTGGTCTCTCTACCACGTCAGTTTCTGGCAACCTCATTAACAGAGCTGCAGCATGGTTGGAGCTCCTGATGGCTCCCAGGGCAAATGTTCAGAGTCAAGGGAACGTGGTCCTAATCTAGAGAGCTCATATTTGTGCAATTTTGCTTTTGGTGTTTGCCAAGAAGACGTTATGACTCAGCCCAAGAATGGCAGGCAGACTACCTGAGCAGAGATGGACTTCCTATGCACTTATGGGCCCCCCTGTGTGGTCAAGGAAGTGGATCCGGGTGGTAGATGATGGGAAGGTCTCCAGGGACCAGCATTTCCACACGCTGTTTCATCTGACCTTCATGGTCACCATGGCGGTTAGAGGAGTTTCACCCCATTTGTACCTGTCAGGGAACATGGAGAGCTATATCCTAGGTTACATAGAAATTGCTGGAGCTGAGATTTTAACCCAGGTTTGTCTGATTTCAAAGTCTGCTCTCATTCTGTTCCAGCATTCTGCCTTTCTCTCCTACATGGTCTTTGGAAAAGAGGTCGTGCCATGGGGCAGGCCTTCTTTCCATGTCATCAAGCACCCCGTAGATTGCTTAGAGGAACATAGATTGCTTCCAACAGAGAGGTGGCATGGTGTGAGAAATGATGCTGTGGGTGCTAGAGTCTGGCCACTAGGGTTTGGCCACTGGCTATGCCATTTACCTTGGGCGAGTCATAAATTCTCTTTGTTTCCCATATGTGGAATAGGGTAATAATACTTTTTTTTTTGGTGAGGACTAAATGAGATAGAGCTGGTAAAGCAACCAACCCTGCATAAGGCCTAAACAACTGTTAGTTCTTGCTATTTTGTATCTTGACATTCTCCTTCCCTGCATTTGGGACAAATTATAGTTGCAATGACATAATGGGGTGGCATGCACCCTGGAGCCAGGCAGCCTGGGTTTGAGTCCTTGCCCTGCCAATTCTTAGGGTGATTTGGGGAAAGTGGCTTAGCTTCTCTGTGCCTTGGTTTCCTTGTCTGCAAAATGGAGATGACAATGGGATTTACTTTATAGGGTTTTGTGAGGATTCAATGAGTTCTATGCATTTAACTTGCCTAAAACAGTGCTTGCACATAATTGGTGCTCAAGATATCTTAGTTGTTTTGTTATTATTATTATTGTTTATTATATATAGTCGTTATTGTTACTAAACTGATGACTTGGTAATGATGAGCCACCCAAATTCAGGGCTAGATATTCTCAGGTGATGACATTGCCCATTTTTTTCAGGCCAAATTATTTTTTACAGGCTTTTAAGCTGCCCTACGTGGGCTGGTGACAAGGCCCCCTCTCTTCTGTGCTAACCCAGTTCTTTCTCTCTTTCTTTTCCCTGTATGTGTGTGTGTGTGTGTGTATGTGCATGCTTGTGTGTGTTTAAGATTTAATTTTTTTAGGGCAGTTTTAGGTTCACAGCCAAATTTTGAGAAGAAGGTACAGAGATGTCCTGCATGGCTCTGTCCTTATAGACATGCCTTATATCTCTCCCCATTACCAATATCCACCCCCCACCAAAGTGAAACATTTGTTATAATTGTTTAACCTATGTGGACACATAATTGTGACCCAAAACTTGTACTTGACTTTCAATTTAGGGCTCACTCTTGGTGTTAAATGGTCAATGCATTTGGATGAATGTATAATGACATGTATCTATGATTATAGTATCATACAAGGTACTTTCACTACCCTAAAAAACCCACTGTGCTCTGCCCATTCAGCCCTTCCCTGACTCCAATCCCTGGAAACATCTGATTTTTTTTTATTGTTTCCATAAGGTTGTGCCTTTTCCAGAATATTCTATAGTTGGATCATACAATATGTAGCCTTTTACATTGGTTTCTTTCAATTAGTAATGTGCATTTAAATTTCTTTCATGTTTTTTCATGGATTGATAGCTCATGTCTTTTTAGTGCTGAATACAATCCCATTGTCTGGATGTACCGCAGTTTATTTATCCATTCACCTGCTGAAGGACATCTTGGTTGCTTCCAAGTTTGGCAACTAGAATAAAGCTGCTATAAACACCTGCATGCAGATTTTTGTGTGGACATAGCTTTTCAACTCCTCTGGATAAATACCAAGGAGTGTGATTGCTGGATCATATGATAAGAATACATTTGGTTTTGTAAGAAATGGCCAAACTGTCTTCCAAAGTGGCTGTACCATTTTGCATTCCCGCCAACCATTGTTGAGACTTCCTGTTGCTCCACATCCTGGCCAGCCTTTAGCATCCTTGGTGTTCTGGTTTTTGGCCATTCTTATAGGTGTGTTTCCTTGTTGTTTTAACTTGCCTTTCCCTGAGGACATACCACATGGAGCATCTTTTCATATACTTATTTACCAAATATGTATCTTCTTCTGTGAGTGTCTGTTAAGGTGATAGCCCATTTTTAAATTAGGTTGTTCCCATATTGTTTTAGGAGTTCTTTGTATGTTTCAGGTAACAGTCGTTTAACAAGATGTGTCTTTTGCAGACATTTTCTTCCAGTCTGTGACTTTGTCTTCTCCTTCTCTTCTTGACTCCTGAACTTTTAGAAAGATGAGAGTTGAGCTCCTTCAAGTGCTGCATTTTAGTGGGTCACTCATCTAGAATTGTCTCACTTGGGGAAGAAATAGTCTGTGAAAATATTGTTAGCATTGAAGGCCCTGCCCTGCTTACTGTCAAGTGGTTGGTCTCCTTCAAGACAAGGAGAATGCATTCATTTGTTAATTAAAATCTTCCTGCATTATTATTTTTAAAACTACTGAATATTATCACGTGCCTGGGATTCCCTCTGGCTGATGGCCACACAAAGCAGGCAACTCATAGAACTCAGTGAGTTTTATTATTTTATATATGTGTGCTAACTTATTAACATTATTACGTGAAGGGCGTCTTGGTAGTTTATTATAAAACAAGAAGGAAAACTCTGCATACTACTTTTCTGGACTAAGAAGTATTTTTCATGGAATAAAACTACTTTGTTTTCAAAACCACTACTTCCTTACAAACAGTATATCAAAGAAAATCAATGCAAGCCCAGTGCTTTCAGTAACTGTTTTCAAAGTGCGTTTCAGAACATTTCAAGAATAGATGGCTCTAGCAAGGCCTGTCTGCACACTGCAGGACAGAGCAAAATGCTTTTATTTATTTAAAGTCCATTTTAAAAAGTTAAAAATTGGGGAAGGGGGGAGGTATGCAATACTTAATGTCCAACTGTACCATGTATTTGATTAAATTTATTTTTTTTTGCAGTTTTACATTCTGCTTTTTTAAAATTTAAATTCAGTTAGTGAACATAGAGTACATCCTTGGTTTTTGGTGTAGTGTTCAACGATTTCATTAGTTGTATGTAACACCCCGTGCTCTGCTTTTTTTTTTTTAACACAAGTGTAGTTGACACAGATCAATGAGTTTTATTCTAAAGGCAGAACTAGAGCTCACACAAAAGATATAAAATATAAAACAGCATGGGGCACTTGCAGTGTCACATCCAATATTATCCTTTTGGCCCAAAGATGAAGAAAACAAAGGCCTTATAAGGGATGGAGCCTGAGATCAGGCTGCTCTGAAGTCTTTCTCTGAGATTCCATGATCTTAGGGTGGTGGACGAATGAATTCACATTTCTTTTTAATGCCCTTTCAGGTCCCATTGATGTATATTCCAGTTATATGTAAAAAAATCATTCAAAGAATTGACGTTAAAGGTAGGTAGTTCAGGATCGTGTTTGGTGTTTTCCAATGACACCCACTTGTTGGCATCTCAGTGCCTTGTTCCCTTGCATTTAATGTTGGGGATACCGATAGCATCCTCCTTTGCCTGCTTTGGGTCCACTGACGCCAAAGTTTCTCCACAATTGCAAAAATACTCCTTAAGCAGCTGGATTTAAAGTGGACTCTTCCCACCTTCCTGCTGCCCAAAAGAAAGAGAGTCCCATTTTCAGGCAAAAGTTTCATTTTTGCCTTCAGGATTTTGATTTCCTGGAAGGGTCTAGTTGCTTGGCATGTATTTTATTGGCTCTTAGTTTTTCTTGCCATCTGCAGTGTGACAGCTCAGGGAGTCCTATTCTTCAGGCAGTAATTTAGAACCTCACAAGGGACCCTGGGGCTTGGTGTCTGCATGAGCTATAGGGCAGACGCAGAGCAATGTCACACGGGATGGATTCATTAGAATAAATTTTGAGCTCGATTTCCACAGCAGCTCAGAGGTGCCCTTACTCCTCTGCTGTCACGGAAAATTATCCTTTAATTGTTTTATGTGTGAATTCGAGGTGAATATCAGGGCAGAACATGTGATTTATGAACTACTTTTTCATTAGCTCTGAATTCAGAGTATCAGTTCCTGAAGGGAAGGCCACTCTGGACCCCTGGCCCTGGCACAAAATATGTGCCCAGTAAATACTTACCTACCACCGTGAAAATAAATACTAATGATGGTGAAATCCACTGCTAGGAATATGTGTGTGTGTGTGTGTGTTTTATTTATATCAGTTGTTCTTATTTAGATTTTTTAGATGATGGGATTCTTTAGAAGAAAAGCTAAGGGATCCCTGACCGCCATATTTCGGCTTGATTCCACAGGCAATGGGGGGCTGTTTAATGAGGAGCTATCAAACGCCTTTGAGGAAGAGGATGACGAGTTGGGACCTGTGTTTTAGGAGGGTCACTCTGCTCCAGGGGTTTTGGTACTGGGTGTGGTTCTAGAGGATGAGAGTCTGAATTATTCTGGAGCTTCTGGAATTGACTCTCTAATCTGATTCGATATAGACACGATTGACTATTCCAGTAGTAAAGACATCACTGATCGCCCCGGGTGTGATGTGGCAACAGAGATACTCAAACTATCATCCTTGGATACTCCTAATGAAACACTTCAAAGAGGCAAGGTGACCACGTACAGAATCCCTTGGACCTTTTTGTCCAACTCATGAGTAAAATGAGCTTGGTGGAGTCAGAGCAGCAATCAGACCAGTCTGACTTGTGGAGACTGTGGTGTTTCCAGAAGTGAAACAGGTCAGAAGCGTACTAAATTCTCACTTGTTCTGTATAAGCAGAAAAATTCTAGGTAACGTGAACAAAACTCCAACTTGTATCATAAGAACAGCGTCATGTCCATTTCCAGACTTGAGCCAGTTTACAGCCCCAGAACCCCTGAACGAGGAAGAGGCTGAGTCTCCTTGAGGAAGGATCCTGGTACACTGAAAACATGCTTTCTCCCAGTCTTTCCAACTGTGCACTGGGGAAAAGGAAATAATCAGACCTTGTGAAGATGACGGGACATTGGCTGTGAACTGGCTCTAATTCCAGGGGACCCAAACATCTCTGTGGTCCACCAGGCAGAGTGGGGGCTCATGGAGGTAGGTGATCAATGGAGACTTAGCTCAGGTCCCTCTCACAGTGGGCTCAGTGGGTCCCGAAACCCTCCTGTGGTTATTCCCCCAGTTCTGGAATGTGTCATTGGGGTAGACCTACTGAGCAACTGGCAAACCCCCACACTGATGAAGAATGGATTGTCAGGGAAACTAGAGGTAGGAGAGATGGCAGAAGATTACTAGAATAGTCCAGGGGAGAAATATGCAGTCTCTGGACTGGTATGTAGAGGAAGTAGTAGATGCCATGTGAGTGTTTTGAAAAATTAAGATTTTTATATAGAACTTTAAAATATTTCTGCTGTAAGTACCATTTTTCTTGTTTAATTTATGCAAGGAAGGAAGCAGAGGACCTAGGCAAAGAAGATAGCCCCTCTCTAAGAGATTTACACTTTTCCACGGCTGGTTGTATGTATTATAAAATCAGTGCATTCATAGCAAAGGGTTGACTATTACAAAGCTGATGAGTAAATCCAGTATTTTTGTAGCCAACATACAATGAATAAAAACAATTTTCTGTACAACCAACCAACCCACCAGCCAACCATCCATCCAAAAAACCAGCATCGTGTTCTCAAGATGAAGAGGGTTTTTTTCATAATTAACCAAGGGGGTTTGAAAAAAAATAAATCTTACAAGGAGAACTTCTTGCAAAGAAAACCCTCACTTTCATGATGTGAGATACAGATTAAATATGGATTTAGCTTTGAGTGAGGCACTTTCCCACTTGTCTACAGGTGTTTCAGTTTCTGTGCCTTTCCACTTCTGCATCAAAGGATAGCACCTACCTCTGTCTCAAAGCACTTGTGTCAACCACTTCAAATTATTAACTGCTGGTGCAAATTTGTGGATCCTGGGTTATACTCTGATTTTAATCTAGATTGAATCAAAGATATTTGGAGCTTATGTATGTGTAGTTTTTAGTTTTACTTGGAGTAAATATAGCATTGTCTGGAGAGAGAGGGAGGAGAGACAGAGATAGAGACACAGAGAGAGAAAGGAGAACGCAGCAGAGAATGGTATTTAGCTCCCCGGGTTGCTGGGAGAATTAAATGGAATAGCTCAGGCTAACCGTGCAGCTCGGGATGTGCACACAGTAGGTGCTTAGTCAGTATTCATCCTGCTCCTCTGATTCATCTGCAAAACCTGATGTTTTAGCTTCTCACTTGTTTTAACCTTGGTTAGGGTAAGGATAGCTCAGCAGATTCTTTCTATTCTGCTTACAGAACATCTCCTTTGGCAATAAGACCTCCAAAGACTTGAAGGATTTTTTTTTTCCTCCATGGTTATATGCACATTCCTTGAGACCTTGTAAATAAAAGATGTTTGGTAACTATCGACTTACTAATTATTAACATAAAAATGTTGTAGTTATTTATTTATATTGACCTCCCTGTATTTATATTGTCCCTACCGTGGAAAACTTCAGCAGATAAAAAAAACTCATAAGGCTCTTAATCCACATATTTGAAAATATAATTCCCAGACCATGAAAAATACAACAGGAATGAATGAGGGGGAATTCTTAAATAAACTGGTGTATTTATTGCAAATGGAGGGGAAGTTGCAGGGCTGGGCAAGGGCTCACAAATGCCCTCCTTCAATCCCATCCCGTATTTCACCCATCCCTCCACCCACCTCCATTCTGGTCACCAGCAGTTTGTTCTCTATAATTAAGAGTCTGATTCTTGGTTTGCCTCTCTCTCTTCTCTTTTTTTCCCTTTCCTCGTTTGTTTTTTTCTTAAATTCCACATATCAGTGAAATCATATGGTATTTGTCTTTCTCTGACTAACTCGTTTCACTTAGCATAATACTCTCTAGATCCATCCATGTCATTGCAAATGACAAGAGTTCATTCTTTTCGTGGCTGAGTAATATTCCATTGTGTACATATACCACTGATTCAAAGGGAAACATGCACCCCAATGTATATATAGCAGCATTATCTACAAATGCCAAATTATGGGAGCAGCCCAATTGTCCATTGATTGATGAATGGATAAAGAAGATGTGATATGTATATTTCAAGAGGGAGGGGAAATAGACCCCATCTCCTGATTGTTTCTGGAGAGCAGGGAGGAGGAGGGACCAGAAATATTGCTGAGCCATTTTGTGTGGTACAGTCAGCGACTGACTGTTGTTTTTTTTTTTTTTAAAGATTTATGTATTTATTTGAGATAGAGAGAATGAGAGAGAGAGCATGAGAGGGAGGAGGGTCAGAGGGAGAAATAGACTCCCTGCTGAGCAGGGAGCCTGATGCAGGGCTTGATCCCGGGACTCCTGGATCATGACCAGAGCCGAAGGCAGACGCTTATCCGACTGAGCCACCCAGGTGTCCCAGCGACTGACTGTTTTGAACCAGTTCTCTGGGTGGCCCCTCTCAACAGCACACATCATTGCCATTTGGGGGCTAGGTAATTCTTTGCTCTGGGGCCCTGTCCTGGGCATTCAAGGCTATTAACAGGATCCCAGGCCTTTACCCCACCAGATGCCTGAAGCACCCAACTCCCACTTATGACAACAAAACTATATCCAGATGTTGCCAGATGTCCCCTGGGGAGGGGTGGGGGTGAGGGTGAGGGAATCAGCTCCAGCGGAGAACCACTTCTAGATGAGTATTCTCAGCCCTGGCTGCCCATTAGGTCACCTGAGGAGCTGTTAAAAAGAAACAGGCCCCGCTCTAGAATAATCAAGTCAGAATCTCTACGGGGGAGGTGTGAGCATGGGCATTTGCTAACAGCTTCCTGGTGATTCCAGGGTGCAGCCAGGTACGAGAGCTAAGTATTTTACAGAATCTCAGAGGTAGTGGGAGCTGCTGAGAGGTCAGGGTTTTGCTTGTTGTGCTCTGTAGGAACTGTCCCCAAAAGGCTTCCTTCTTATGTTTGTGATGATGGTTGGGATGTTTGCATGCACCTTGACCAGCATGAAAAAATGGGGTTGCATCCAAAAACCACATTTCCTTTTGCACGGTGCTTTACAGATCTTCAGTGGTGTTCATGGATATTCTGAATTTTAAATTACCCCATGAGACGGTCAGAGTGATAATCCCCCATTTACATGATGAGGGAAATGATGTCGGAGATCTTAGGGGATACATGCTGGCCGGCAGTTCAGTTCCTAAAGCCGTTTTCCTGTCCTATTTGTTACTCACTGCCACTCATCTTCACCGGGGGCTACTTTCTAGTAATGAGGCTGGGCAGTTCTTTTCTCTTGCACAGATGTATTCAGAAAACCAAAGGAGAACCAATGCTAAAAAGTCAGTTATTTCCCAGTGCCTGGTACAACCTCTGTGAACTTTCTTCTAATTTGAAAGCCAATTATAATAATTATACTGCCACCACCAAGGGCTATAATCTGATAATATATCTTCCCTTGCAACCATTCTGTACTAGGCATTTTATATATGACATTTCTCATCCTTTTAGCAACCTGCAAGGAAAGCATTGTTTTCAGCATTTTACAGATGGGAAAAGTTAGGCTCCAAGAGGTTGAAGTAACTTGTCAAAAGTAGTTAGTGATACATCTAGGATTTGAGACCAGTGATTAGGTCTGATTTCAAAGTCTATTGCTTCTCCTTTCCCTTGCTGTCCCATCCGTGGAAGTTGTTTCTAAGTGCCTATTAACCTTAAACAACGTTTTATGTGAAATGCGTCACTCCAGTATGATGCGAGCATGGGGCCCCCTTGGGAGTGCTGGAGTGGGGTACAGCCCATCTCTGTAGGTGAGAGCAGGATGTAGTCCATGTCCCAACCAGCTGCACCAGAAAGGCAGGTGCTGATTTTACTGGGGATTCACAGCAGTCCCTGAGGCATAGACCATCAGCCCAAGTAGACTGTCCAGGGAGTGAAGAACAACACTGTCCTCCTGTATCAGGCCATGGAAGGGCTCCTAAAGAATGATCCATCACCCTGTAGAGACCAGAGCAGTAAAGGTGAAAAGAACTCCCCCATGCCCCCACTGCCAAGAATCACGTCAGATGTGGAGTTCACAACTGCTCAGCTAAAATGGTCCTTTGTAGGCCAGTGGGTGTAAAAATCCCTCTTTATGGCACAAGCCCAGATGAGCTGGTTTTCACTTTGCAAAGGATTGTTTTAGTTTCCAGAAAAAGTCTCAGATAGTATCAGGGCAGGGAAGAGGGAAGGGAGAGTCAGATAGATGGTCCTGGGATTGTAATCACCTTTGACATGCCCCATGGGATCCACTGAACAGACTGAACACCTTCAGCTCCATGGGGGCTACCTGGGGCTGCTCAAACATGCAAAATGAACATTTTCTGTTTCACTGCTGGAATTTTTGCTGACTGAGAGGCATGCATCAATCTCTGCTGGGGATGCGTAGGAAATGTCCCAGAGAAGTTTCACCCTTTCCTTGGGCCCTCTGCCTCACCTCTCTTGAGTCCCAGAAAAGGAAGTGTTATCCTTGAAAGGAGATGTGATGACAAATTATAAGGCATAAGACATTAATTATAACATTATGGAGTCATCTAATACTAGAAGTGAAAGGGATGAAGGAAAAC